TTAAAGAGGAATAGCGTGGATTTTAGAGAAGTATATTTGAGAGTAATCAGTTGAGATTGAAATATTCTTAAAAACAAACTAAACTGTATAATTTAGTTTGGTCAGTTTAATTGGTTCGCACTGATTAGTGCTTACCACTAGTTTTTGTCATAGCCTCAAATCTTGATTAGTTCTATACTAGATCCCTAAAATTTTATATTTCTAAATTAGATCCTCACATCTCTTAAATTGTTTTAAGCCCTCGAATTTTATACTCCTAGAATGAAGAAAGGAACAAAAATAAGAGTTTAATCAGTAGTGAGACATCAAACATTACCAAAGCAATCGTACTTGTGACCGTATGCACATACAAAAGGGGGGGAAAAGATTTAAAAGTAACCAAAAATAAAGAGAACAGATGTTTTCAAAGGATTGATGCATATCTGGGATTTTATTGATTTTTTCTGTTACTAAGCAATTCTTTTGATTAATTAATAGATAAGATGCAATAACATTTCTTATTTCCTGAGATTGGATCAGGCACGCAAATTGATACTTTGTAGAATTGCTTTGCACATGGATCCCCACAGTCTCCATTATTATTGCACTCTGCCTCAATATAATGGCAATGGTCATCATCCCCTCTCACAAAAATCATCATTCCTACAAACAACACAAAACAAGAGATAAGCAAACAAAAGTGAGGTATTCCACTATTTCATAGGCTCTCCTCTCAAGTTATGGTGAACATCGAGCGTATAGTTTTCAATGTTTTCCGTATATTTGCCTTTATATCATCATGTGTATTTGCACCCTTCAAATATTAGTTTTTAAAATTTTAGTTTTTACTCTAACATATCATTGCACATTGAACATTCTTTTCATGGACCAAAACATAGACTATTTTACAGCATTGATATTTTTTAAACGCGTGCTCGATAGAATTTAAACTTGACTAATTACTCAAATATCATATTAAAGATATGTTCCCCTACAACGTAACTTTCCGATGGACGCAGAGTCACGCCCTCACGCCGCGGAAGCGATATCACTTAAGAGAAAGCTCTGGCTTTTGTTTTCACAAAAACTCAAGCCAACCTCTATATTCTCATTTCACAAAGGAAACAAGAACAGAAGTAATATATCTCAACAAAGTGAGATATACACTCTTCCTAATATCAAATCTAGGTCTGAATATCGAGGAAACCAACAAGTAATAGCCAACACCCTTCCTAATATCAAATCTAGGTCTGAATATCGAGGAAACCAACAAGTAATAGCCAACACCCAGAAAAAAAAAGAGACGAGATTTACGTGGTTCGGCAAACTTGCCTACGTCCACAGGAGGGGTGAATGGAGATTCC